CGAACCGCCCAAAGGGTTCTTGAGGGGGGCCCCGTGACAGAGGCGAGGTCGTTGTAGGGAGCCAGGGTAAGGATCGGCTGCAGAGGGTCTCTCCCTCCTCGTCGCGGAGCAGTGTTGGTTGAACCCCTGCTCCGGCCAGACGAGTGGGAGAGCCAAGGGGATTGCTGAGGGTAGGGTCCCGTAGTATTCAGTAAGGGTCGGCTGGAATAGGGTCTCTCTCTCCTCATTGTGGAGCGTGTTGGCTGAACCCCCACTCCGGGCAGACGAGTGAGAGAGCCCAAAGGGTAGCCGAAGGTAGTACCCAAATAGTATTCGGTGTCTGGGGTAAAGGGCCAAGATAGAGTGCACCTACACTGGTGTGAGCGTAGGATGTTGAGTGTAACAGTGTTTTATTAAACGGCAACAGTCCTTATAGAATTCCTCATCTCCGCGTGATTTCACTGTACTACACTAGCATGAGGAATTTAAACAGACAGCGGCGATAGACAGGGAGCCAGTGAAGTTGTTGAAGGAGAGGAAAGCAGTGAGATGTGGAGGGAAGGTTGAGTCGAGTATGTGCAGCTGCATTTTGGATGTGTTGGATGAAGATAACGGCATAAGCAGGAAGACCAACCAGGAGTGAGTTGCAGTAATCAAGACAATTGAAAAGAAGGGAGTCTATGAGCAGTTTGGCAGCGGTGGTAGTGATGAGGGGGTGGATTTTCATGATGTTGTACAGATGACAATGGCATGTGCAAGTGGTATTTGCAATAAGGGAAGTCAAGGAAAGAGTGGAGTTAAAGGTAACACCAAGAGTAAGGGTGGAAGACTTGGGGGGTTTGTAAGAGTTTGGGAAGATGTTGGATAGAGTGAAGAGTTAAAGAGAGCCAAGATGAATGGAAAAATAGTGGGGGAAATGGATGGAAGAAGGAAATTAGAAGGGGATCGAGGGAGGAAAAGGTCGGGCGGGTTTTGGAGATTATAGGAGATGATTCCAGAAGGGAAACAGGGGAGAAAGCATTTAAGGAAATAGTAGTAGGGTGGAGAGAGGAGGGGTCAGTAGGTGCAGGGATGTCAGGTGGTTGCGCAGTGAGCATAGAGGAGCGGATGTGGTCGATCTTGGTCGTGAATTAGTTGGAGAGGACCACAGGTGTGGGGGCAAAAGAGGAAGTAACATGTGCAGTAGAAGACAGATGGTGCGGAGAGTTTAAGGTATTGGAGAGTAGAGCAGGGTGTTGAGATAGGGAGGAAATCAGAGAAAGTATGATTGGCGAGCAGCCTCCTTGGCCGAAGTGTAATTTGATAGTAGGGAAGTATATGTGTAACGTGAATCATGAGTTGGTGAAGTCCTCCAGATGTGCTCCGCTTTACACATGAGCCGGCCCTGTGACTTGAGCGTTGGTGAGGGGATGATCATTCCAATGCTGTCACCAGACTTGCCGGAGGGACGTGGTGAATGGAGGAATTACATCTGGGGGGTGGATAATGTGGCGGGGGTAGTGGTGTTCAGTGGAGAGATCCACGTTTCACTCAATGCTAGGGTGCGGAGGCTTTTTGAAAAGAAAGCATCGAGAGTGGATGCAGGCCTATTGCAAACGGTGCAACAAGTTCCATAGCCAAGGTGGATGGGGGTGATTGGTGAAGGTGGCGGAGGTCTGGAGATGGGGGCGGAGTGCATTTTTGGGTGTAGGGAGATGAGAAGACTGTGTGAGTAATTTGTGTGACGACTGTGATGACGGCGTGAAGATGGGAAGATACAGCGGGGAAAGACAGATAGGATGGGGGAAGCTAAGGGGATTTCGGGAGTGTGGCAATGGGTGAGGGCAGTTTAAGCACGAGGCGCGCCGTTTGATGCCCCAATTGCGCTTCGTGTACACGTTAGCGCCGTGCATGAGCACGTGTTACACAATGGCATGGGGCCGCACACACGGGCACCACAATCCAGCAAAGTGCAAGTGTAGAGGTGATACGCGCTGGGATTAGGGATCGTATGCACAGTGCGTGATGATTGGCTGTGTAGGTGGTGACGCGCGCTGACAGTGGAGGATCAGGGGTCAGCGCGGGGTCGTGGGTTACGGGGTACCGATTGGCTGTGGGCCGGTGACGCGCTGAGAGGGAGTGATCAGGTGGCAGCGCAGTGTGATTGGTGGAGTAATGTTAACACGCGCTGGGGAAAGCGGATCGTAGAGAGAGTGCGTCGTGATTGGTTCATTAAGGAACGACGCTCACGTCGACGCCGCATCAGCTCCGTCTCTCGTGAGCAGGGGCTATAAAAGGGGATGCACACAGGCGTGAGGGGAGTGTGTAACCAGCGAAGAATGAAGACGGGGATGAAGACCTAGGGCCCTGCGGTACCTAGTCCCGCTGTCCTAACGGGACCGGGACTCTGTGTAACCCAGAGGCGAGTGTAGTGTGTGTAGCCATAGGCGTAAGGTCTACACGAGCCGAATGCAGTGTATTGTGTAGCCAGGGACATAGGGTCTACACGAGTCGAGTGTATTGTGTAGCCAGAGGCGTAAGGTCTACACGAGTGAAGGGTATCGTGTGTAGCCAGAGGCCTAGAGTTTACACGAGAGTAGTGGAGTGTGAAGTCGGAAGAAAGGAGACTACACGTTGTATTTTGACACGTAAAGATTTAATAAAAAGTGTGTTCCCGTCAAGAAGTTCCTGCCGTCAATTCCCATACTTCACAAGTACCGCTCCACCATGATGCCATGTTGCCAAATCACAAGTAGTTTATAACACACTCAGCATGTGTTTAAAGCCAAATTTTGGGCTGCAAGTTATTGTTGCGTGTCTGTGTGATACCTGATTTGTAATATATTATTTACACCGGGCACACATTTATTGTGCGTCTTATATTCGAGAGCATCGTAATCCTGCGAATACGGTATAGGCTGTGGCACCGCACCAAGTTGTTCTTCCGGTGCTTTGTTGAGACTATTGACTTGTTTTGGGAACCTGAATGAAGTCGAGCACAACAACGAGTCCAACACGCTGGGTTTTAGTCACCATTTTATAAATATTTGTCGTGCCAGGTTCGAAAAGGTTACTTGGCTTTGTTCTGTTGACTTGTCAGCAGACGTGCAGCATAGATCAAAGAGACCATTGATGGAATCTCTCAAGCTGATTGGAGGTGTCGCTTGCACGGTATTCAGGTTTCGCAGCCATACACTTGTGTGCAAGTTGCCTGTTAGACAATTACTTTTGTATGGTCCGTATCAATCACTGTATCTTTGCTAACAATGCTGCAGAGGCTTGGGAGAGATGACGTTGAATCTCTTCATCTACAGTGACATTTTGATGAAGGCAGCTGCCAAGATGAAGGAAAAGCTGACCGTTTCACAGGTAAATAGCTTTTTATTTATCGTGGAGGTGTAGGGGAGGAGCCATGGGCTTGTTGCAAAGTACCTGGGTCTTACGAACATTCACATCCAGTCCATACTGGCATTGACAAAGACATACAAGATTAACTCTAGGTCACGCTGTCTTTCCGACAGCTCTGTTCTTCACCTGAGGATGGCTGCTTGCATTGTGGCTGAAACGTCATGAGAATTGTATTATGTTTGATTTTTATTATCTTATTATTTCCCTTCTACGTGACTTTACCGAAAGAACCAAGAATCTGCAAGAGCTGTTATAGCACAATCGTCACCATACTGAGTCTCAGTGATTGGTATTGTTCTGACGTTTGATTTGACCTGCAGACATCAAGGGTTGAAGGGCTTACCATCAGTATGGTATTCTCTATGCACACCATGTGCACGGCAGGCCTGGGAAAGGAAAGCAGCAAGAAAGATGAAGAAACCTGTCGGTGGGTGGAAGCAATTCTCTTACTTCTAGTTCTGACAGTAAAGGATTCAGATTGTTTTCCACACGAGAGGACAATGCCACAAACATCACCATGGAACTATCTGATGATAGAAGCGATCCTCTATGGGCAGCCATAGTGGTGTATGACCTTCCATAGAGGTTATTTGTTCACGTCGTTAAAGGTCGTGGTGAGGTCAATAAAAGCCATTCCTCATGTATCTCCTGAACAGAAAATCATCGAGAGGTCCAAGACAAGTGCCGGGAGGCAACAGTAGTGAGGATATAAGAAGGAGGCCGGACAAGAGCCATGGATAGTGAGGGGATCAGGATAGTGTCATGAGAAAAGAGCAAATGAAAACGTGTAAAAAAACAAGAGACTAAATTAAACCACGGAGAGGTTGACAGAGTTAGTGAAAAGTTGTATTCGAAAGCAGCAACATTAAGCTCCCAGTTGTGAAAGTCGAAAATCGTGTTGTTACACAGTTTCATATTTGGTGAATTCGCAATCTCCAAAGAGGAACCAGAGAATGGATGATCTGATAACATTTGTTTCTGAAATACACAATCGTATGGTGAACATGTTAACAATTTTCAGAGGAATGTGCTGGTGGTTACAGACAAGACCAGTACAAAGTGGAAAAAAGCATACCAAAGTAATTTTAAAAAGAGAAGTGCTGTGAATGGAAAGCTTTTTTGTTTTGGGAAAATAACAAAAGAAAACGTGGAAAAAAACAAGAGACTAAATTCCACCATCAGGAGGTTGAAAAGTTGTGTTTGACACCACGAACATTCAGCAGTCGATGCAGCCACATCATCTCGTAAATATAATCAAAATGATAAAGCATTTACGTGTATTTTTCCCCTCATCCAATATTGTGCGATATGTTCTTCCATAATACGTTTGGTATATTTGTTTCTCAGAGGTTACAATTTTACCAATATTTGAGTATAACAATGAATAATAACTAAGTGCATCAAAGATTTGCGTTGTCATGTTAACTGTGGCATATGTTCAAACTACTGACCCACGAAATATTCACGTTTGAAGCTTTTATAAAGAAAGCACTTGAAAAACAGTCGTAACATGTCACGGTAGAGACACTCACACGTAAGGCTGTAAAACTCATTGGGCAAGGCTTGAGGAAATGTCAGCCACTGACAAAAAACTGGCTCTGAGCCCGCCCACAGGACATGGATGTACCTTTATAACTGTGAGCGAATTTGACCGTTTGGATCAGGCTCGACAAGACTCCCCTCAAAACATCTACTCGACGGAGCTTCTTCATCTGGTATCAGCTGTGTAACAGATGCCTCGCAACTAAATTGTTTAAATTCTTCTAAATTGTTTAGTCTACCATACCAAAAGGGTCTGTAAAAAGCAAAATAGATAATATCCATATGTTGAAGCTGTTTTTAAAAAAACTAGCTAAAGTTATTAAGGATAGTGTTTATATGCTACATTTATTTAAGAGAGTCTGCAACATTACTCTTAATCGCCTGCTTTTGAATGTTTTATAGTGTGCCAAGTTTAGTGAAAAATCTTAGGTGGGAGACACTATGCCAGAATTTGGCTTTATCTACGTGTTGATTCCATATTTTGATATTTTACAGCCGTGCTAATTTCTCAGCATCATGGTTAACAGATGTAGGAGTTCTACCACTGGTAAATGTTCGAATGTTTAAAAATTTTTGTGCTTTACTTTTTATAAGGTGAGATAGCTTCAACAACATCGAGTCATGAATATTGCAATGAGCATGCTGTGCCTGATGCTGTTCATCGTTCACGCACAAGGTAAGTTTCTCAGCTGGACATGAATTGTGACAAAATGGGTTTTGTACTTGTTGCTTATGTATGTTGAACTTGTTTGTGGAACTTCTTCCGCACCGTACGTAGCCAACCTTGCTATTCGGAGGTGTAGAATAGATACAGCACTCGACCAAAATAAATAATTTGGCTATTACAGGAACATTTCAAGTCGAGCTCCTGAGTCGCAACTGGAAACTGTTTTGCCTTTTCATTAACATGTGCGCTGTATAAATAGTTGTATTATTTATATAGTATTGTTTTCCTACATTTATTCTTGAGTCACGATTTCCTGTTGTAAACGTCAATTTGCGTGATCATTAGCCATAATCTATCCACTGCTGGATGAAAGCATTTCCCAGCTGTTGCCATCTGTTATGGCCTCATGATATAACAATCCATGTAGATCATGTACACGAGTTTATTGCATATATCCATCGCTGTCTGCATTGGAAATCCTCTTGGGTGTTGTCCCTCATTCGGCTGCAATTCCATCTTTAGTCCCATTCCTTCGAGTGATGTCTCCTGTCCTAGCCCATTTACTTCCTAAAAAGTGAATGTTCTCTTATCTGTATGTTGTTGTTACTTTTACTTTCTCTAAGTGTAACTGCAAGCATGCATCTCCCATGCTTCTTTGTACTTTTCAGCCCTTGTTTCATTTTGTTTGTCAATGTCCATGTTACACATTCATTTGTCATAGCAGCTAATGTACACTGAATAAAAACGTGCTTCTTGAGCACAATGGTATGGTTTCCAAAAGCACTTCAACCTGTTTTCGTCCATTATAGATTAGGCTGCTTACAAAAAAATCAACCGATTGTTAATTCACTGTTCAAATAAGTCTTCTCCCAACCAATATTAGTCAGAGGGGTTGTTTGACCATAATTCACCATGCTGGTCAGCACAGGGGTTAGGGGTGCAGAACTGGTTTATCTCTAGCTCCACCCTGCGTGTAATAATATATCAGTAACACATTCCTGTGGAGGGAGCTGGTAGGAACGTTGGGTTGCTCGGTCAATGGCCAGGGTCAACGGCGGCGTGGGGTTTTCCGCAAATATGCCCGACTGTGAGGGCGGGCACAAGCCGGCGTGAGTAGGTTAAATGTTGAGTTTTATAAGGGCACCACGGGGTGACCAGCCCCTCCCCACCCAGCCCCACCCCTCCCCACCCAGCCCCTCCCCACCCTCCCCACCCAGCCTCTCCCCACCCTCCCCTCCCCACCCAGCCCCACCCAGCCCCTCTCCACCCCCCCTCCCCACCCAGCCCCTCCCTCCCCACCCAGCCCCTCCCTCCACGACGGACGGACGGACACAATAATCTCCTGTGGGCTGGTGTAACCAGGAGGTTCCTACCAGTATAATGTGTGTGTCTGTGTTTTTATATTTTACAGCACAAGATTCAGACACGCCTCCGCAAAAAGAAAAAATAATTGACCCGGGTAATACTCGCACAGCTTGTGTTTTGTTATGCTTGCCCCATTGCAAAGGGAGTAGGAGTGGTTTGACTCAACGTAAAGCGTAGGGTTTGCCGTGATACGACTATAACGATATACGATCCACAATAATTTAACGGTATATTTTGTAAAGTACAGCAATGACCATAAACATTTGGTAAAACGTTTGCGATGCACACACTTTCATTTGCACTCAAAAGTAGAAAATTCATTCTTTTAACCCCAGAATTAATCATTTGATGTGCTGAATAAAAGTTGGTGGTTTTCTTTCGATGTGTTTTATTTGCTTTATGCAAGCCACCCACTTTTATTCAGCATATCAAATTGTATTCATTCTGTGGTAAAAAAAAAATATTTTTCTACTTTTGAGTGCAAATAAAAGTGTATGCATTGAAAATTTTTGTTGTTTTAGTTCCATTGTCATTAACTTAATTCAGACTTGAATGTAATTTCTGGTCACTTGCATACAGTAAGCTGATCTAATGTGGAAGTCAAGCAAAGAAATTGAAGTAGCATGCGTCTCCCTGTTTATGCATAAGCAAATTTTATATCAGATTTTCAGGGGGAGAACATGCAAACGCCAAATATGCAGGCGTCAGGGTTAGGACCTCCTGTATACCAGGCAAGGTAGTTGACATCTCGCCTCTTCCTGACGCACTTCACAACCGATGACCACGTTGTGCCATGGACTTCTGGCTTCCCGCATTCACACAGTGGGCTGTCACGTCGGCCCCATCGATGTTCAGAAGCAGCACATACTCCCTGATCACACCAGCAGCGGTATAACTGTAACATACATATATAGGTCTTAGCTCTGGCTTGTATACCTTGCTTATGTTACAGTTCGTAAAGTGATCTATCTACATTTTGTTTTTCAGGTACTGTTATGACAATCGTCAAGGCATGTGTGGGAATTTATAACTTTTTCAAGGGTAAGTGAAATCTTAATTTTACCAATCGTATTCCGAATTTAAGGCGCACACAAATATGTTGGCATATATATCAAATTTATATCAATCTATATCGCTGCTTGAATGTAATGACACACTGTTAGTGACAAATGTGTTTGTGTGAGTTAATTATTTGACATGACCTTTAGGAAACAAGTATTAACACGAGAAAATAAATTACTTTTAATTAGAAAATCATTACAATATGCAATATCATAGTAAAGTTGTAATTTAGGAATGTTTTAAAATAAAATGCAGTTCAATATTGCGATCTGTTACATTAACATCATGACAAATAAATATAGACCATTATAGATAAATTACTAATCATGCAGTAACAGATATATCTAATACTTTGTTTTTTTTCCTCGCAGACCTCACGAAAAGTAAGAACTTTGAGTGCACCTCACCTAGATTACGATGCAGTGGCCATGTGCCTCCCCTAAGTCAGTTTTTCCCACACCTTTGGTTAGCACGGTTGGCTATGTACGGTGCAAAAGAAGTTCAACATATATACATACTATACAGTAAAAAGACCACAGCAAAGTAGGGAAAGATAGTGATAGGGCTGCCACCTTTTCTAGAGTATGTGGTTGCTATACATAGCCACGTGACACGCCACTTTGTTGAGCTATTATTCGTGGCAAGGTCGCTTCTGAGAAAGAGCTATATAGCTCAGTTGGCCTTACCTGGTGAAATAAAAAATAACGTAGGTTTTTGTTTTAGTTTTCCAAAGATTGTCCTCTTTTTGAGGTAACTGTCCTGGGAAATCTGTAATGATTTGCCGTAGTCATCGTTGAGATTCAGTAAACACAAAAATAAAGTGACAATTTTCAAGAGACACAAACTGAGTAAAGAAGACCCCCAAAAATGGAATACAGGAGAACAAGAATCACGGAATATTAAGTAAACAGTTCCGGTTAGGAGGAGTTAAAATTCCAGAGCTTGATAAAACTGACAAAGCAAGATACACTTGGTGAGGAATGGAATTTGAACAACAAGAATAATGGAACAGACACTGAAGGTCAGAATCACTGTAGAAAGATGTGAACCAAATCACAAACGAGTGATGAACCATGCCAGTGGTAGCATAGAGAGAAAACAGGAAAATCGCAGAAGGGTAAAGTGCACTTTGAGGCTCTATATTGTCAAGAAGTAAGCCAGTCAGACTTGAGATAGAAGAAGAGGAAAAGGTGGGACTTAGAAGCCAAGGTTCTTGTTTTTCTCAAAAGTTAAAGACGTCAACGTAATTAAAGGCACGAATTGAATTCCAAAGAAACCAAATGCAACTAACGTCTCAAAGTGTAAAGCAATTAGTGTGAAACCAGACGTCAATGGGTATGCTAAACACAATTCAATCATGGATCAAAATCAAGGTAGAGGAATACATTGCAAAGGGCCAATTTGTATAGGGAACAATAGAAGCAATTGGATTGATGACAATGATCTATATAAGCTGCTTGGAGTTTATCCAAGAAGTTTATGTTTGTTTACTTCAATCAGAATATCTTTTTCAATGTAATCAGTAAAATCAGAGTAGACTGGAAAGATAGACGGCTAATTGTGGGCATGTACATGGGTCAAACAGCAAGTAGTAGTATGGTACGATGCGTCTTAAGTATATGAAGTCGAATTGTGCACGTTTGAAATATTGTTTCGGTATTTATTAGGATTTGCATATTTTTTATTGGCAATTAGTTATTTTAGTTTTTAAATTGATGAAAATTGATCTAATGCACCTTGTGAGATGGAGGTCACTTAATGTCTCTTTTTAAAATATCCTTCAGAAAAAGAGTTTACCTGTCAAGTGGGAATGGAGAGTGATTTGAGTACAGTACGTTGTCTCCCTCAACAAGAATCCTGTGTCACTGCAAACGTAACTGTTGGTAAGGTGAACCTCACTGTTGTGCTGCCTTCATACAAATCATTTTTTTTGTCTTCTCTGTTCATTGAAAGGGATATCATTTGTTCTGATTTCCTTAATGTATTTTTTTCTTTCACGTGTCTGTGTTTTTAAACAGGTATTTACACATTCATCTACAAGAACTGTGCTTCGGACCTGGATTGTGTCTTTAAAGAACGCATTCGAAAAATGGTCCTCAACGATGTGGTAGATGCATTTGAGGATTCTCGTGGGTGCATCCTAAATGGTTATGAATGCAACAGCGCCCCACATGGTGGTCCACCTCGTTCCCTGGCTCTGCTTATCCCTCCCATTATATCCCTCCTTGTATTTTCCAGCTAACTTTCTCGCAGAGCTAGGTACGCACAATAACCCTACAGTTGCTGTTAAGTGTGAGACTAATATATTCAAAGACAGTTGCTCTTAACTTTTTCACAAGGGGTACTCATTTTATGTTTGTAATTAACAACCATGAATGAATGTGTATGTTAATGTTACGTTATTGCAATCACAATGAGTACTGTACTCGGTGTGCATAATAATAATAATTTAAAATTTGCTTTTAATTGTGAAGAAAACCCCATAAACTTATGACCATGATAAGCACTGAACAATAGTGCCACACGTTCCTTTCTACCTCTACCAAAGCGTCTCTCTACTCAGGAATGCGTTTGTGTTTACTTAATAGGAAGTTAATTTAAAAGCTCATAGTAAGAATGGATTGGAGTAGAATGGTGATGCAAAAGTTGGCACACTGCATGATGAACCTAGAGACCTGGGTCTGATTCCCGGCCATGGCTAACACCAGTGGCAAGTGAACCGGTCCTGGGCCCGCCTTCACCATTCCACACTGCCCACACGCGGTGAAGCATGAAACAACCGTCCACGACTGCAATGTCATGGGGAGGTCTTTGGTGAACAGTGGAGTTTATAAAAGAACGTTCAACCATTGAATCATGAAAACACATGTAAACGATCTATACTTTCATCAATTTGTAATGCGCTTGAACAAATGCAGTTCATGCTGGAGTAAACTACATTAGCTTCCACTTCCCGAGTGGAAGGATAAAGCCCTCTCCAGTTCACCCGCTCTGGTCTTCCACGCCCGTGGTTGCTGCCACTTGCATTGTGCAGCTTCCTTGAACCAACGATAAGCCCATTCATGAACGATGAGACAGCGTTATGGGTTATTTTTTTTATATTAAAGTGTGTAACAAGGTGTGTTTAATTATGTTATCATAGACTGGGAAAACTACATTAAAAATAGAAACTACGTAATTTAATCGTTCGGGAAAATAATGGTGGTTATGGACTTATTTTTTTTATGACATGTGATATTGCTGGAAAATATATAATAAATGTTGCCTTTCAATATTGTGCGTAAACAGTGTTCATGTAGCTTGTAAGTCGCCTTCAACCTTTTTTCAAAGCACCTACATATCGAAACGCTTCCATAACATTGGAACCAGGCGCGGTTCGTTCACTAGAGGTGTTGGGGCACCGCCCCACCAAGCAGCTGGAGATGAGAAATTATATTTCTAATTAAAAAATGTTTCTATAAATTGTTTTATTATGTAAAAAAAAAAGAATATTTCAATGTGAATTGCCGAATGAAGATCAAATGTTAATTTCACATGAGAAACCGCTGCAACACCACAGTCTGATTTGCGCCCTCGGGGAGGTCTCGGGTCGGCTGTGAACGCGTCTGAGTGAGAGATTTCCTTTTGTTCGTTGCGACGAGTTTCACATTTGAGCTACAACGTTTGAGACCAATTCAGGTTGGTGAAAAAGGTGCTTGTGGCTGCAATGAGATGTTGTCACAACGCGAGGTTGCACCGTGCAAATATATCAGCTCACACGGCCTGCACGCTCAAGGAGGAAACAGCAGCCATGACGATGGCTGCAGGCGCAGCAAACGAAGAATTAGCAATGGACACTGGAGTCACTCCTAAATATTCCATTTGGTCATTGGAACAGCATTCAAGTGCTTTGATGTAAATAAGACAGTTATATCACATTCACGGAAGGCCAATAAAATGACGATGTCTTGGCCTCCTGTGTGCTGCGTTGCATAACTGTCCGAGTAGTTAACCTCGCATTCAATAAACTTTCAGAGCCAGAGTGAACATCCGACTCCAACGTATTTAATGAATAAAACGAGGTAAAACTGATGGAAAAATAACACAAAATACAGCATATGTTTATACTTGCAATATCAATACAGTAAAACCTTGGATTGCGAGTAACTTGGTCTGCGAGTGTTTTGCAAGACGAGCAAAATTTGTAAATAAATATGAATTTTATAAAAGAGCGAGGTCTTGCAATACGAGTAGTACGTATACGCTTTGTCTGCCGAGCGTCACGTGTTCACAACTGATATATGAGTACTTTGATATACGAGTGCTTTAGATTACAAATACCTTTCCGGAACGAATTATGCTCGCAATCCAAGGTTTTACTGTACCATGAATGAACACTGTAGCATCATAACATTGTTTTAGATAACATTAATCTCAATAATAGGTCCTGGATGGACCAGGCAGGTACATTAGTACTAAATAGCTATACAACAAGAGAATAAGCTACTGTGTTAAATAAGGTCACTTTGTGTAATCGCCATACTGCAGCCCAAATGTACAGCGCTGCACATAACACTGAACAGTGGGTGAGATACTTCTTCATCCTTGCTCTCAAGAACGCATTAAAGTTACATGGGCACAAGTCTGGTTTGACTTATCCAAGTGGCAGGCTTCATTGTTAACTAGGCCTCATATTTATCATAACCATTTTACAGCATTTGAAAGGCATTTACAGCATTATAACGGCAATCCTAACATTATAACAGCATTCCCAGTATTATAAGAACATAAAATAACAAACAAACAATGCTTCTTAAAGTCCCACAATGAACAGATGCACCCGTCTTCACTGAGACACTAATTGTGCCTCCATTTTGTAATCTTTGTAATGGCTGACACCCCTGCCTTGCCTCGTGACTTCGAGATCCTTAACTCATAACTTTCTGGTCACGTGACCAAACTCAACACCATCATATCAGGAAGTTATTGTGTAAGCACACCCCAATATCTGCCGTGGGGCAGAACAGACGATGTTTTGTTGATTAGAACACCATGTGCGGCCCCCCGACAATACACAACACGTGAGAACACACCCTTTGCAGGTGACGTGGAGGCGCTCAACGCTGATGATGTCTCACCGGGGAAGTGGGCCACTTTTAGAAAATTAGTGAATAACACTGGTATAGAGAGGGAGAGAGCCATCGCTTTCACAATATTGCACTATTCTGTAGGTGCCGGATTAAGGTAGTGCGGGCCTGTAGCATATGTTATACAGGGGCCCTACACAAAAAATAAACACACAAATCTAATAAAAATATTTTTAGTTGAATAGTAAAGTAATTGTATTTTTTCATTTGCGATACAGCCAGATAATACGACAAATCGCTAACCTGTCGTTCATAAAAGTTGAAGGCAGTATAGTACTATAGTAATAAAGCAAGTGCAGAATCACTGAACTGAAAGCTTGAACGCATTTAGAAGTGCGGCGCCCGTAGCATACTCGGATAATCCGGCACTGTATTCTGTGCCCAATGACCCGTTGAGAAGGGAACGCGTGGTAGAGCCATGAAGGCTGGACATAGCGCCACTCTGTGGCCACATACAGAACAGCAAATTGCCGAGTCATTGGAGTGGCAAACCCGCTTATGGACCGAGGGGATGACCTGAAGCCAGGCGGTGCTGGACTCCACTTGAATCCAGGTGTAGTAGCAATGGCGAGGTGCGGCAGTGTTACTGGCCTTGGCTGCGATGACAGTGAGTTTTAAATAACATCAATATTTAATTTGACAGTAACAAGATGTGCTTTGCTATGGATCACGTCATAGACACCGAAGGGCAAAAGCAGCCCCAGCATTGCGACTGTAACCATCTAAGCCAAAGCAGGGAGTACATCGTTCAGCAGTGGCTGGCAGCATCTCAGTCATTCAAACCAACCCCTGTTAGCCCTAAGGGGGCGTCCATAAATGACGTCACGCCAATTTTGGCGATTTTTGACCCCCCCCTAGTCACACGGCGTCACAAAAAGGCAGACGCCCTTTCAAATATGACGTCACAAAGCTCTGCCCCCCCCCAAAACCAGATTTCTATTTTGAAAATAAAACATACTTCAAATCGTTTAAAACTATTGTCATTGTAGTGCGTATTTAATGTGGCGCTGTACTCTGATTTTGTAGGAAAAACGTTTATTAAAAATGAGGCGTTGGAAAGCTTAAATTTAGCATAAATTCACTTGAAAATATTCAACGTCTAACTAAAACTGCAGATGTTCAGAATATGATATTGAAATTATCTTATAATTATAAAATATTAAAAGTAATTTTACTATAAAAAATACTTGAAACTTTGTAGTAGAACGAAGCAAAATGGAGAGTACATTATAACAATCACATATTCATTCCACAAAATGAAAAGCCCTGGTAGAATCACTAGAATCAAAATGTTTAATAACAATCATTAAAACATTTTTCTAAATGTATGCTTCTCCATTTTCCCATGGAGAAGCAAAATGCTCCTTCATGGAAAAAAATTAAAGGTAACCTTAGTAAATTGAAATAATCAAATAGTTAATAATGAAAATTAATAAAAATTAGTGTTGTTATAACAATTCTATATTTATTTAAAGTTGCGCATTTTGATGTGACGTCACATTTCTCAAGCCCGTCACACATCGTCACAAATGTCTGACCCCCCAACCCCAGGTGCGTGACGTCATTTATGGACGGCCCCTAAGCTGGCTGATAAACGTCGACATCAACATCACATTGTTCAACACCCCGGCCACGCAAAAGAGAATACGAACTTGTGGTGTTTTCCAAAGGGGGCTACTCGCCTTCATTCGGACACAGTCGTGAGAGTCAAACAAACTGCCACTGCAAGAGATCGAACCTTCAACATCTGGATTACCAGTAAAGTGGGCTAACCATTATGCCACAGCAAGAGTGAATACTGCCTCATTAACGATTATCAAATGCATTATAACAATGTACTAAAATAATCAGTGCTTGCAAATCGACTTGTAAATAAGAACAGTGAGAATAGTATTTGAAATGTCGTGTTTTGCCCATGTGGCCTGGACTGGCTACAAATGCATCCAAATAAAACAAACTTTCCATTTGAATAAAATGGACAACAGTGTGCGAGACAGGTGCAGTGGATATTGTGAGGGGCCTCTGATGTTCAATACAATTTAACTCCATGTAAAAGAAAGGGTAGCATACGCGAACCACTACAGATGCAATGAATAATGGATGATGTCTGTAAAATATTAATGACCTCGCTTGTCGGTACATTTGTGTAATTTGCTGCTGTAGTTTACCAGCACTTGTTAAGTGCAATTATTGCCTTTCATAAGGAAGTCATAAAATCCAGTTCAACCTCACCAAAGTACTGAATTTAAATAATAACAAGTAACTGGACCTCTGGACGAATCATACCAAATCATGTTTAACATGTGTAATGCTGCAAATTGACAAGGGTATATTAGTAACATGGTGGTTAGTTCACTGTGCTGTGAACCCAGTGACCTGAGTTATGTTCCTTGCCATGGCTCACATCAGGATCATGTGATGTCTTAAATTATCCTAGCCCCCACCCCGGTTAGCATCATGCATTTCTTCTTCTTCCTATGGCTGATGTTCTTGTAGAGCAATCAAAATTTTTTTTAATCCAAATGTTACACTGACGTGCTTGAGCCAAATAATTGCGTCAGGAGAAGTAGAGTGGTGTGTCGCTGTGATGCCTCCGTATTTATGAGTCGGTTATTGAGCCGTTATCTGCTCTATGGTCCGTTATGGGTGACCACAGTCGTGCACTGGAGAGTTCTTAATGTGTGCATAAATAATCTGTATGCGGTTTAGGGCTGCCCCTAAGCTTCGTGGCAGATCGAAGCCCGGGATCTGCATCCTGTCTTTTGTGAGATGTGTATGACTTCTTGTGAACTCCATTGAGCTTTCCGAGCATCATCAGGGTTCAATTTGCATGTTGTTGATGGTAAGCGCGTGAGTATACAAAGGGCTTGCGTGATTTTAAGCGGTGGTGAGGGACTTTTTTTTTAGATGCTAGTGGGTGAGGAGATGTACGTTTTCCACGAATCTCTGGACTTCCCGGAAGGTTGCGGCATCGACTATAATGCCATCAACCTGGCGACCGGACCTCAATCAATGCTCTCTCAGTCCTTAGAGCAACATCTCAAGCACCATGCACTGACCAGAATGATGTTTGGGTTGTTTATGCATTGGCCACGAACGGAAAACAACCCTCACGAAACGGCTTGGTAAGTACATAAATACAATATCCAAGTGGCTGGAACAACTGTTGAAGAAATGGAGCTGATAGGTGATTTAGCGGTCATAACCCTTCATGGGCCATCGATACAAACATAATCACTTCCAGTAGACGTTTGCAAAAAGGTACAGAGGTATGCAGCATAATAAGCGACTGCCTTGTAAGGACAACAAAATAGGATAAATGTCTTTCTTAAGTTCGTGAAAACTTTCATGATTAAGGTTAACGTGTATTATTCCGTCAAAAACACGTTTAATTATTTATCACTGTGACACTACTGAAACAATTTTACTATGTAGAGTCGAATGCATTCATTGTCCTGTAGAGGTGCACATTCATTGTATAGGTGCACTTAAATGCCCTTTCATTTTAGCCCCGAGGGAGAACGCTTGACAGAGGAGTGTCTTACAAATACAAAGGTAAATATTCCCACATGTTGGTTAACATAAGTCTACATAAGTAGAAGCGAGAGATACGAAACATTTCATGTGGAGATGCATAATAGAAGTCGTTTTTCATAACCACAAACCCACCACTTTCCACTGATCTTCTTAGCCATGTCGAGGAATTTAATTCTGGTCGCTGGGTTCATAGTGCAATCTGCTAACCACCTCACCACCAATGGGATTCCCAGCTTTCCCCATGAACTTTTGCAGGGCACTTAAAAGGTAGCCGGGGTACTGAGATGCCAGCATAATTGAGCTTTTGAGTTCAAGTGCGAGTGCATCAAACATGAACACTGGTTTCTCACACTGCAATGGTTATCGAGTGCTCCAAATGTCATCGCCCAATTGAATGAAATACGTAGTTGATGAGTATACTTTTAAAGAATGTGAAGTATGTTGTAACCCCCATGTTTCTTGTGCTGTACTTGTTGAAAGACAAGGCGTACACATAGTTCCATTATTGGTATAAAGGAAGTTAGGTCGAGTCAAAAAATGATACCACAAGTTGCATGACAATGCACTAAGTAAAGCTAGTTATTAAGTATTCAATAGTTGAATGAAGCTTTGTAAATAATTTTCTCTCATGTGGTAGAGCCCAGTTTTTTACACGAGAAGAAACACGTCTTTTTTGTAAGCGCTTCCACCTTTAGTTAGCTGTAGATGGCTAATTTTTCCATCCGTAAAAAAGTATCAACCAAATCTGGCACGCTTTAAATGCATTACTGTATAGATTATTAAATATACAGCACGTTATATCACACAAAATTCACGTTTGTTAGTTTCAAGGTCATGCCACTTTTCTCGTATTCACTTGCTTGTTCGACTGAAACACTGCACGTTCAAAGACAATCCCTCAATATCAACTGGTTGCTCAATGGAGTTGAAACATGCATCATATTCATTACACGGAGTCACGTTGCAGAGAAATAAGACGGCGAGGGGATCGTCAAAAAGCTGAACATATGAACAGATGAGAATGAGATTTTTAGCAATTGACATTTGCTCAAACAGTAACAAATTGATCTGGTCTGATCCAAGAAAACAGAAATACAGTATTCACTTTCAGAATGAGTTACAAAATGGTAAAACTTGTCCACAATTTGCGAGCTTAAATAAATGACTGCTGACTAATATAAGTCCGGCAGTCCCCGTCATCCATTCCATATTAATATGGAGATAAGGGTCACAAGTAATTTTTTTGACTCAAATGCTTTCATTCCAAAGCACTGTTTGAAACGATAATTGCAAGAAATATTAAACAATTTAATAAATAATGGTTATTTATTATATAGCAAGTAAAATAAGCTTAAATAAATGGTATAGGTGATGTTAGATGTTTGTTTGGACACTTTTCTGTTAAAACAGTATTATTTCATCATTGGGCCTATGTGAGCATTTGTTTGTCTGAGGAAATATAAAAAACTCATTAAAAGCGACTCAAGCAACTGCCTTGCGATGCTCTTACGCATATTTCTAAAGCTGCTGTTCACAATCTAAAGATTAACAAAGTATTTCTGGCAAAATTAAAATCCACGTGCACATTTGACGATAACGCAGAGCCGTTGCTTTACAATGATTTAAATAATTTTACTAAAAAACAATTAGCGTTCATTTGTGGACTCAAGTAATTTTTCCATTGCATTCCTTTGAGTGGTCCCGCATTTATCAATAATTTGTTCAACGATTTTTCGGGCACGCTACAGTGTGTGCATACATACTTAAATTCGTTTATATCGTAATAGAAGTTTGGCAAGCCTCAATTAAATGAAACATTTCGAACCATTTTTAAACTCTGAGCGTTTTAAGGGATTTTGAGCTTGTGCGGTTCGTATTACTGTAATCAACCCTGCCAAAATATGTACACTGCCATCAAAGCCAGGGGCATGAACAAACACGCCTGGCTCTGCCCAGATGTACGTTGAAGAGACGCGCGTCACTCGATCTACGACGGACAGGGTAACCCTGGAGAGACACAGCAGCAGCTGCATTCGAACAGGGCGCAACGCACGCGTGCTCTCACATCACGCCGCCGCGGTAAGGCGCAGTGTGTTACGAACGCAGCTCGAATTCTCTCGCCGATGCGCATCACACACATCGTGGGTTGCGTTAAGTGCGTTGTCACATTGGAGCTTCGTTTTAAATTTCGATTGAAAGCTTTCGTGACTGCAGGGATTCATCTTCTTGGTTCTTTCGGTAAAGTCAGTATTTCCCTTCTACGTGACTTTACCGAAAGAACCAAGAAAAGGAGCGTCGTTTTGTTTTTGCTTATTTGTTATTAATAAAGACTAAACGTTGGAACAACAAGAGCTATGAAGCTCGAGATAGTTTTGTAATCTAACCGCACATGTGAAACTGTGTAAATGAACGTGCTGGTGGGCTCCCTTTCCATTCGACGAGGGAGAGTCGGTGTGTAGTTAAGTGGCGTGTTCACGTCTTGTCCTTTTTTTGGAGACCCTTTTTTTCAGACGACACGGAGAGAAGTCATCATGAGGTCCCACGCCAGCGCCTTCCTTCTGATTCTCTTGGCAGGCCAAGTGTCCGGTGAGTGGGAAAGTGATGTCCCGTCACATCTTTCTTCAACTTAACCGTGCATTTCGCCTTATTTCTTCGATGATATTCTTGCCCCTTATAATTTCTCAAAATTTTATCATGTATTTTGTCGATGTCTTGGATCGTATTATTATTATAGACTTGGAAAGTGGAAGTTTGTTTTTATTATTAAAAACAAATTAAGGTTTTTTCCCCCTCTACACTGTGTCGGTCATAGCCATGTTTCACCAAGCTAATCAGTGGGTTGGTGAAGGGTGTGGGGGGATGCCCAGGACCGATACAGTTATCTCTCGCCACTAATGTTAGCCAAGGCAATGAAATTAATTTCGGGTGACCGGGTTCGTAAAGCAACGTGTCAATTGGCAGAAACACACTTTATCCACTTTTTGAATACCTCCCATGCTTATTCACAAAAGCTTTTTTCTGATAAATACTGAACTGTATTGTGTTCTTGTCACAATATATTTTTACCCGGCCGAAAATGTTCATATCCTGCAGAGTTAAAAAAATCGTTCATGCAGGAATGCATATAGATTGTTCTTGCAAATAATCGTAGGATATTTTATTGCACAAACGTGTTCAATATTTTAACTTACCGTGGGAAGATCTAGAGGCAGTTCGCAGCGAAAGCATTTCTCGAATGTTTATGGGCCACGCCCTAAAGCACACATACCCGTCTTTACAGCGGCACTTTTTTGAGTTTTATAGCATTAAACACCTCGAAATACGAATATATATTGTTTTACAATTATCCGTTTGTAATTGTATTTTGTTTAACTTGCAGTATATCTCAAAAACAAACGTCATATTTAGATTTAAAGCTTTCGTGACTGCAGGGATTCATCTTCTTGGTTCTTTCGGTAAAGTCACGTAAAATGGAAATAATAAAATAATTCTCACGACGTTTCGGCCACAACGCAAGCAGCCGTCCTCAGGTGAAGAACAGGTCTGTCGAGAAGACAGTCTGAATGAAAACTAACGTCATCTTTAAACGTTTTAATGTACCTTGAAATAGAGTGCAGTGGTAAAGTAACGTTAAAAGCAGTCACCTGACGTACATTTTTATATCCTTTTGGAAAAATAAGAACTGGACCAATGAAGTGTGCTCTATTTTTTGTTTTGTTTACAGCAACTGACAAAAACGGTACAACCATTACGAACGTGCAAGATCTGTTTCGTAAGTGTTTTTTTACCATCTTATATCCATGTGAAAGGCATCACCATTTATTTGTTTCCGTAAAACGCATATGCAGCATGAATTTCCACGTTGACCATTCTTTAATGTAAACCTTGGCGCTAATTTAAGCCAGCCGTTTTCCTCTACACTCACTGTGACCATCTCCACTCCTGCATATACAGGAATGTGTTGCTTATTACAGTACCACGAACAAAGTAGCCCCTTTAATTCATGCATATACGCATACATTGTTAATGTCGATGATAATTCATAAGACATTGCCAATCTATCCCTTGATGAATGCCGCTCTATGCCGTGTCGGTCATGGGCGTTTGGTTGGTTGACCATAGTTCACGCTGGTCGGTGCGGTGTTTGTGAAATAGGGACGAAGGACTGGTTCAGTTTATCCCTCGACACTGATGCTGGCTGTTGATGGGCATTGAACCCAGGTCATTGTGAGTTTATGTACCACTGCCCAACAAAGACGGTTACCACGTATCTTTGACCGTCTGGAACGCTCTTCCTTCCGATATTGGGAAGCCACTGGAGCTATGCACTTTAAATCATCTAGATTGAAAGCTCATTTCTTTAGAAATAAGTTTTCTTTAGAAATTAGTTCTGTGTTACGTTTGTTGTCCTTCGCCGCACTCCGATTAGCACGGGTGGCTACGTACGGTGCAAACGTACGGTGCAAAAGAAGTCATACATACATACAATAGATATTACTTACAATTACAATGTTTTTGTTCCCCTTATAGATGCTGTTGAATCTGCATTTGGTATGTATTTTACCAATACAAATGAGGCCTTCATGATCACAATTTGATACATAAGTCTTTAAAGTATTTGCTTCGTGTACGTTTCATGGACTGATGATACCTTGCATATAAAACAAGGATTGTACTTTAATTGTAATCCATTATTTCTTTTTTTTACAGACAAACTTGGCAACACCATCTCAGGTTTTTTCGATAGTGAGTGTGCAAATATGCGTGTATTTGTGACTGCATATATAGAATAACCCCACTAAGCTCAGTTAGAGTAGCATGTCACTTTCCCACAGTATATGTCTCTGCATTGTGCAATTGTTGCCAATCATAGTTTAACTTTTGATTCCTCGGGGCTGACGTGTTATGCTATCACCAAGTCAAAGAGCTGCTTTGTCTCAGCATGTTCCGCCTCGCCTCATGACTGAACCTGTTGATGCAGAGTGTGTTGTGTATGCACAGTACTATTGCTAAATGCCTCGAGCAGGGGTTGCTCTTCTCAAGTTGTCACCGATGCTGTTATTCTCAATCCACTTAGCTCGTGGTAATGCCCCTGGCTGGTTGGGTTGTATGAGAGCATGACGTCAAATTGCCTTAAATACTCTGGCTTACCAAAGAGGTGCGCTGGTAAAGTGCCTTATTGTGTCATGTATCAGACTTACATTATAGCACGATTAGAATTAACGGCGTCCATCTCCATAGGTTAAACCATTGTAGTCTTCGCTCCTTCAATGGACAAATAGCTAAACTGCAAAAACTCTCTCCTCAAGCCCTTTTGTGGTGAGCAGACCTTTGACAATGGCATTTAGCTCTTGAACATATTACCATAAACGCAATAATCGAATAACACAATTTCATGTTTTGTTTGTGTGGAGCGAATTATGCAGTGTATTTACATATTGCATTGTTATTTAGGCAAGACATTTTCATGCAGTTTTGGGATCTCCCCAAAATACTACAAGAAAAGTTGTGCCGATTCAGAAAAAGCCTGCCTGACTGCAAACATCACCATTGGTGAGTCTTTGCTGTGTACTTACCCGACAGATCACATTGCAACCAACACATAATTGAAGTGTGCAATGCAAATACGTGCTCGAGTTGAATCCAGGGGTATCACATTTATTTTAGATCACAAAGGAATACGACCCACTAAATAGGCTCCCATGTTTGTATTCCACTGGTGTTACCACCCATGTCACTCGTACAATTGAAATCCACAACGACTACTGTATTGAAATTGTGTGGAAGGATTACTCAACAGTGGATAAACATTTAAACTTTATGGCACAATGTTTTAGTATTTATATGCTTGACATACGTGAAGGAAATGTGACTGGAATAAGTGTTTCAGCATATATAGCAGAGAAGGGATTTAACGAAAGAGAGAGCAAGAATAGGGTTTGACTTACAAAGAGAATACAGAAACTCACAACTAGGTTGTTTACCATCAGACTGCAGAGAAAGCATCATCAATATAAGTCAATAACCTCTTGTTTTATGTATAATTTCACTTGCAAATAATGATGTGGGGCATCTATGTTCCATTGCTGTGATGATAATACACTACATTAACAAGCACCATTTCTATGCGTGAGCGTACACAATGGCGGAGCCAGGATTTTCAAGTAGGGGGGGACAACCCATCCAGCAATAAAAAAAATGACAGGAGTTGTTAGTAAGTAAGGACTTGTCCCTTGCTTTTTATTCGACGCATGTGTGGCGATGACGCAGCCATCGCTCGAGGCTCGAATTCGAACCGCGTTGTGCGATCGGCATCGCGCTCGCTGAAGGTGAATGCCTTCAGGGAAGTCGTGTGCTGTATACACGCAACTGCGCACAATTCTGAGTCACTTATAACTGCTTTGCCGTTACTTATTGCCAATTATGGACTATTGTCCTATCATCTCAGAGTCCCTGGCACGTAATAATATGCTATACAGTGGCAGTGGGGGCCGCAAAATGCCAATTTATTACTAATAAACCCAAATGATCCGATCGAAATTAAGGATTTCGATCGGATCATTGGAGGGGCACGTGCCACCCCCCCCCCCCATTGGCTCCGCCAGTGAGCGTACACGTGTATGTGTGTGTGTGTGCGCGTGCAGGGCAAGCCAACATTCTGTTTAAGGACTGTGTCAAAGAGAACGTCTGCAACTCCACGGAGATTCTTACTGCCACCATAGCCAACATTTCCTCCTTCCAGATGTACAAAGATCAGAATCTGACCGTGAAAAGCTCTGAGTGTTGCAAGACCAGCCGCTGCAATGCTGCTCCTCATAGCAGACCTGGCCTGCCCTTGGCCTTGATATTTGTCCCTGTCTTACCGCTCCTCATGCACTCTGGCTGATCCTCTGGCTAGGCATGATCGTTGCCACCAAGGGCCCAAGGGGTTACATGGCCTCCTTACTTTTTTCAAGTAGAGGGACCAGGATAGGATTTAGACTTGTTAACCTAATTCTGATGTTCTTTGCTCCAACTATCCCTTGCAATTCAAAATGTGTTTGAACCTGACAATGCGTGCCTCTGCATTTATCAAGAACTGAAGCTTAAAGTGTGCATGTGTGAACACTTGCATTATCAAGCAGAATTTGCGCATGAGCATGCAAATTATAAATGTTGGTGCACATTCGTGCTAAAGTGCATGTGCATGTCTGTACTAAAAATTAAGTCTGCATAAATGTCCATGCGTGTATTAGGACGGTAGTGTGAGTGTTCAAATATGCACTCTCATTTTTACCGACTGAATGGATGCCGTATTGATAATTACAAATAAGACACGTTCCTGGGTTGAATCATGCGTATCGAGAATTCAATAAAGTTTTTAACATAGAATAGTTGAAAATCCCACTTAATTTCCATCCACACATTGCATATGCATCGGTTCCCGATGGCATAATACAAATTAATTAACCAGTGATGTCCCTCCACACAGTGGCAACACTATCGGAGGCAGTACCAAAATGCTTGCGCAAATGCCTTGCAATCTTGTGCTTAAAATTCAGATATTTCAACATTGACATATTGTAGAGGGTGTTTATAAAAATATCATCCATTATAATTGGCAGTACGAACTGTTTGAGCTTTGTACGTAAGTTGTTTCAAAATAGAAAAGCTTTTTGTGAACCTCAGCAGATGACACAAGCGGTCAACGCAATCACACTCCCGAGAGGATTGAGAGCACCTGGGACTGACTCTGTCGAATGTCAATACGAGGTGTGTTGCCAACACGATACGCGAGAGATGGTGAAACTCACGTAACAAAAAAAGTCTTCACAACATTAAATGTGTATGCAGTTTAGATTTGAAGCTTTCGTGACTGCAGGAATCCATATTCTCTGGTTCTTTCGGGAAAGTCACGTAGGTATAAAATAAAATAAAAATAAATTACGACGTTTCGATTGCAACACAAGCAATCATCATCAGGTGGGAAAACCACAGCAAGAAAAATCGAAACGTCGTGATTTATTTGTATTTTATTTTATACCTACGTGACTTTACCGAAAGAACCAGAGAGTATGTGTGTGCATGCAGTTGTGTTGAACCGAACGCAAACTACTGTCTCGGCATTCTGTAATAACAGTTCATATCGTTATGGACACCCCGTATTTACATTTTGTGGATATGTCCACGCTTTATCCACTACTAGCTTGGGACCTTGAATGCTGTTGCATTATGTATGTATGTTGGCAAACACTATGGAATGCAGTTTTGGTATCGTTTGGGTAACTAGTTTAGTGGTTTTGGCTCAGCCTTCTGTTGTATTTAGCTACACTTGACTCTTTGTGAAAATAATTTTAGCAGGCTTTACGCTGTTTATACAATTTAAACAGTGGCTAGTACGTTAGTGGTAAGTGGGACATAAAGGTTGTTTACTTGATAAAAAGAAAGATTTTATTATTTTAATGAGGTTATATGCTGTGTTAGTAATCGTGGTGTGGTGACGTGATAAACAAGGAAACAATGGAACATTTTGTTTAGTATTAAAGGGCATTAATCTGAGGTGATTATTTGTGATTTTGTTTTATGTAAGGTGAAAGTGATTTAAATTAGATAAGAATTTGAATAATATTTTACATTGCAGACTAACTCCGCGTTTGTAAACTGAGTCAGAAAATGTGAGATGCAGTACTAGTTGAAAATGCATGTGGGGAAAAAGCCCTTAATTTCCTCAGGTCTAAAACTTTAACGTTCATTTGCCACAAAATGATTTCACTATAAAAGTCATTACTGTGTGAGGTCACATTGAGTGCATAAGCAAAGCGGCAGCAGATTAAACATGAATGTCCATGTGATGCAGCTACTTTTAAAATCCTTCATAGGTGTCAAAACTTCAAAGTTGGCCACTCATTCTATATGTGATGTGTTTGTCACAGGTTTATTTAAATCTTAAGCTGGGCTACAGCTATAATTATCCATTGGGTTTCAGTGACCTCCCAATTATCTCTTCCCGTGGTGTGAACATCGCGTCATGGCAAAACAAATGGTAGTCTGGCAACAGTCTGAACCTCCGATCAGCATGGTTGGCTACGTACGGTGTGAAAGAAGTTCAACATACATAGATACAGCAGTTGACATTGTCCAATATTAGTTCAACAAGTCAGAAAAACGGGGTAACCGGCTTGTGTGGAATGTTAGGAATGAATTGAACACTGTTTTAACTATTATTTTGTTTTACCCACTGAACTATATGTGACCCATGGGCTACACCCATATTAAACCTTTAAAACAGTCTGCCTCAACAGCTTTCCCCACCTGATGACGATCGCTTGTGTTGTGATCGAAACGTCATAGGTTTTTGTAATTTTTTTGTATTTTCTTTGAACCTATCTACGTGACTTTACCAAAAGACCCAAATAATATGAGCAGCATAGCTCTTTTTCAGAAGCGATCTGGCCACAAATTATTGCTGAACGAAGTGGCTTATCATGTGGACATTTATAGCAGCAAAATACTCCAAACGCATGATTCTAAATGTGGAGGGGAAAACCAGAGGACTCGGAGAGAAACCCACGCTACCACGGGGAGAGAGACACGCGAACTCCAAATACACAAGCATCAGGGTCGGGATCGGGATCGGGATCGAACCCATGACTTCCTAAAGTTCGGAGCTTGTACGTGCGAGCGTGCAAACGGCACGGTGCGTGCGACTCTGATCGGCGCCCACGGCCGATCTCTTAAGTCACCCGTGTGTCACGGTCATTTCTCAGTTGAAGGTGCAGCCCTGCAAATTGCTAGCTCACACCACTGGTGGTGGAAAGGCATCCCACGAGAGAGAGAGAGAGAGAGCTCTCGAGAGGAATCTATTTTATCCTTGCACGCTCACCAGACGCGTTGGAAGAGGTGACCATACCCACATTTTACCCCCCTCCCCCCCCCCACAGACGCAACCTACCAATCTACCAACCTATTACATTGCTTCATCTGCCACCCCGGGAGACTGCATCGAACCACTCCCTCTAGATCGCAAGTCCAGTCCGCATGCTTATAACTATTATTGTTAGACCATGGTAGCTCCCTTCGTTTCTCATATAAAATAGTAAAAGTAAACTAGACATTTTTAGACGTGCGGTAAACCGCCAACCTGGCTTAAAAAAATCACCAAGTTACCAGAAATTCAAAAAACGACCATAACGCGACATTTTACATCGTTTGAAAGATACTCCATTAAGTGCTATCAATTGCATGCAATTAAAAGACCCAACGCAGAATATCCCTGGTTTTGATCTTCCACGAAGCTCATGGTCCACCCTAAACGGCATTCTCACAAGCCACATGGCAGATGCGGATACCGGATGCACAAATGAAAAATTAAAAACTCTTCGAGTGTGCGACTGCGGTCATCCAGAACAGACCGTACAACGTATAACGACGACGCGATGCCCGATCCACGAATACGAAGGAGACATCGCAGCGATGACACACTCCGCTGCTCCTGACGCGGTTGTCTGGCTTGGCCACCTGCATGTGAAATTGTCGTTGTTGCTCTGCAACCACCATCAGCCGTATGACAGAAGAAGAACTTCAAGCATGGTCTCGTGTCACCTCATCTTCTCCGCATTCTGACATTCAAAGTGAGGGATGTACATGTACAGCCGTTTCACCAATCCACTGCTTGATGAGTGCATCCTCATGCCACGTGGGTAATGGGTGTTATTTGACATACTTTACCATGCTGCTCCACATATATATGGGTTTGTGAATGTGAGTACCATATACATGGCGGGGGGGGGGGGGGAGGCATGGTACATTGTCATAAAATTTTCTGCACTGCTCTCTGCAGACCACGATGAAGCAAGCTCGGCCTATACAAAAGCGACCTGTGTGTGTATGGTGGTCGCCCATGCAAGCACTATCGAAGCTTAACCTTGTTTAGCTGTCGAGATCTGCTAAGGTCGGGTGCATTCTGGGCAATTTGGTCATCGGCCAGAGTGGGAAATATTGTTGTGCTCCTGCTTCATTACTGGATCGAAACGTCGTGATCTATTATTATTTTATACCTACGTGACTTTACCGACAGAACCAAAGAGTATTGATAAATTACCTGCATTCTAATGAGACACCACGAGGGGTCTACAAACCACAGGTATGAGAGCACTGCCGTCGGGTTCATTCCAGGGACGTGCCATTGCATGATTCTCTCCAGCTCCACGTGTGTTGTTTTAGTACGTTAGTCTGCCAGGCAAATTGGGATGTTTAGGCTAACCCACGTGGCATTCCCCCTCCCCCACCCACTCACTGTTACCCCATTTCAAAGGTGAATACTTTATGCTACTGCAGGGCTTCATTTCAGCAGGAGCTTCCTGGGGCATGGGGGGATGAGGGCGTCAGAAAATATTCCATCAGAAATTAAGCCTTGATATTATGGTATATATCTGAGTATAAAGCAGTACCTTGTAAATGTTTAAATTATAGTTGCTGAATACCAGCCCAAATATCCAAAATTCCAAGATGCAAGCAACAAACAGAACGAGTTGAGTGATCGATAAGAATTCAACTACATCCTATATGCCGCTACTCATCATGCGAAAGGAGTGTGCAGGATTTATTCGGTCCACGTAGAAACTAACAAAAACCAGTGCTCCCTACCCTCAGCAACGGAGGCATTGGAACTGAATGTTAGAAGAGGCCACTTACATGCCACAACAGTGTTTGGAAAAGGGCCACAGAGCCCAGTTCACCCATCCTAGATGTATGGATGGATGAGACACGAGACAACACTGCGACCAGTGTTGGTTGCACCATTCAAAACTTCAAATCGTCATTGTCCATACGCATTGACAACATTATCACGTGCAATGCTCTGTTTGGTGTGAAGCTGGAAACATCTGGTGCAGTCAATGGCACGAAAACTGTGCCTGTGTCATCTGAATGTTTTTGGTTTAACTTTCTTATAACCTTTTTCAATCCAAGAAACGGATTAACTCTAATCGATTATGCCTTCAATAGTGCTGTGTGTTGCTGAACGCTTGTGAATTGTGGGCCTGCGCTCGACAAGCGTGGTCTAAATAAAATGGACGGCTGCTTGCATTGTGGCCGAAACGTCGTGAGAATTTTATTATTTTATTGTTTTATTTTTATTATTTTATTATCTCCCTTCTACGTGACTTTACCAAAAGAACCAAGAAGATGAATCCCTGCAGTCACGAAAGCTTTAAATTGAAATTTAACGGAGAGTACTTTTGTAAATTGTGGGCCAAGTTAGCAGGGTATACAACATGAAAGCTCGAGTCAACATTTGTAATAATATTCATTTTTCACAATTGAAATTTGCTTCTGAAAGGCTGTACTGCAGTGGAACAGTGACTAATGTACCAGCTACTTTCCCCATTTTATATTTAACTTGTACGTTACACTGGAGCTATGCACTTTTAAATCCAGATTGAAACGAATTTCTTTAGAACTGCTTTTGGTGTTTAGTTTGTTGTCCTTTCCCCACATGTACCGTCACGACCTCTACGATCCGCTAATTTACATCTGCTCCATGTGCCGAGAACTAGACTGCATCTGGGAGGACCGAGGCTCATGCATGCGCTGCGCCAAGACTTTGGAACGCCCTGCCACCTGTGGTTAGACAGGCGAGGTCACTCACCTTCTTTCCGTCTTCTCTAAAGACTCACCTGTTTCGCCCGGCCTACACTTCCGATGTATGACCAGTGGACTCTGCACTATTTATATTTCCTTACTTCGTGCATGGCGCACTGAGATCCTTGGATAAATTGCGCCTTACAAATGTCAATTAGTATTATGAGCAGGGTTGGCTACGCTCGGTGCGAACGAAGTTCAACATACAATCAATACACGAGCCCTTGCAATGATCACCTTACTGCTTTACTATATTGAGCCTGCAGGGGGCAACCTACACTACCGCAGCAGCTTAATCACAAAACGAGTCTCGAGTCACCCTCTGGCGGTTCAATTATTGTCACGATTCAATATGGTGAGCAACGACCCTGAAAACTGATGTTTGTTATTGATAGTTATAAAAGAAATTACATTGAATGTTTTATTTATTGACTTAAAGCTTTTGTGACTACAGGAATTAATATTCTTTGGTTCTTTCGGCAATGTCACGCAGATAAAAATAATAATAAAATCATAATAAATCACGACGTTTCGATTTCAACACAAGCAAACGTCTTCAGGTGAAAAAAATACAACAGGCGGACTGCTGAGGCAGGAAGAAATATGAAGATGATTGCTTGTGTTGCGATCGAAACGTCGTGATAATTTTTTTATTGTTCTATCTACGTGACTTTACCGAAAGACCCAAAGAGTATAGTTTTATTTATTGTTATTACCATGCAGGGCCCGAGTTGTTATCACTCGGCCTTAAGATTTGCATTTAACTGCCCATATAGGACTCACCACTGTAATCTCTACATTGGGTCAAACTTAACATCTCTTCATGTTCGACGGCTTGTGCACCAGATCTTATTTATTTATGATTTACTTACAAAGAAATCCACAGATTACCTGCCGGGTCTCCTCTCTGTTTCAAA